TTATTTTTTGTTTGTTCATTTGTTTGTTTATATATTCATTCAGCTGAGTATTCATTATGTACAAGAAACTAGTCTAAGCACAAGGGATACATCCATGAACAAAGTAGCACTGTTGTTAATATTTATATACTTGGTGAGAGTTGAGTCCAAAAGATGATCCTTTCCTTGAAGGGCTTGTTGCCTGGATTTTTCTTCCCAAGTCGAGCAGCACCTTACTCATGAGCAATAGAATATCATCACCAATCCTGAGTTGCATGACTTGACTGTAATTGTGATTTATTTGAATGTAAGGAAAAGTATTTTACCTTCATTTTCTTCTTAATTTAGTACCAAACCCCAAGCTCATATCTAGTCCCTTGTTACAAGTTTGTTCGCAGTGGTGGTAGCTGCAGCAACAGCATGGAATCATAATGATAATTTGTGCTTTAAGAATGGGCACGTGACAAAGAACTTAATCTAAAAGAACCCCTCTGGCAAGGTGACGGCTGTGAATTCAGGGAATTCTTCAACCATTTAGCTGGCTCTTAGAGTCAATTAAAGACCCTTTTTATTGATGCAATCAGGAATTCCATATTTATTGTACTGAGTGCATTTTTATAATCCTTAGACTGTATTTACGAAGCAGAATATTTGCTGCAAAATAATTTACCTTCACTGTGGTTCTTTTCTATATGGAAAGGCCAATTTTCAATTCAGAGCCCATGTAAAATGTCAGAGGAGGCACGCTGCAGTCTGTGGCTCAGCAAAGTGACCCTCAGATTTTATACTGTTTTCATCTCAGTGCTTCGCATAAAGCATTCATGATTTCAACATCTATACATTTAATAATGATTATTTTTAATTGGAAATTTAAGAGTGGAGAAAGACTAATTTTATTCGATTGTGCTGTGTTCTCAGCAGTTTTCTAAGCTTTTCACTTTAATAATACTGCCCCTAAAATAAGACAGACATTGTCACTGGTCTCATTAATGATATAGACTTATATACTGCTGCCTGCAGTAACAAGAATAACATTTTTTGAATTTAGAGTTTTTGTATTTTAGTTTATATTCCAGTGATGTTGCTTGGTGTGTGTGTGGTCAGCAAATCCTTAACTGCTTTATAATTCTCAAGGGAAAATTAGACAACCATTTATTTGAGATACACTAGGTGTCAGGCACTGTCCTGAATGCCCTTTACTATATTATCTTACTTAAACATCACCCAAGTGTTTGAAAGAATTTATTGCAATCTGTATTTTGTAAATGGGAAAGCTGAGGCTCAGAGAATGACGTAATTTTATCACAATTCTAATATCAGGTAGCAGACCTGGGGGCTGGCACAGATCTTTTTGATTCTCCCCCTGTACTGTAGCTCTCTCGGTGAGAATATTTGTTTCCATTAACTTCTGCAGTTTCGCTTTTTTATTTTTGTCCTATTAAAATGACTTTATTTATTATAAACTACATCCAATTCTAGATGGGAGGAATCAAGGAATAAATAAGTTTGGGAGCTAATTACTTAAAGTGAATTCTAAATGAAGGGACTGACCTGTGAGCACTGAGATGCTGTCATCTCCACAGTCACTGGTGGCCCTGGAGCCTCTTGCCGGTCATCTGGGAGAGCCTGTCAAGGCATTGTCCTCTTATTAGAAAGAGGAAGAGTGGCTGGGGCATTTTTGCCCCTCCTTTCTGCAGAGTCTACTTATAATGCTGCCGTCGGTTTCCCTGTCTTTGCAGCCACCCACCGTCATTCACCATTTTCTCTGGTTCCTATCACCTGGCTCCTGCGGGCCAAGATTCTACTGTAGCCTAATGGATGCCAGGGAGGCGGTGCTCTGGCCCTTCCCGAGCTCTTGGGCTTGGGCCGCGTGTTCCTCAGGACCGCTCCCGGCCTCGGCCCCGGGTTCTTGATGATGGGAGGGCGCGTGAGGACCGCGGTCTGGTTGCTCGCCCAGAACGTTCACTCGCTAGAGGATACCTCAGAGGATAGACTCACGCTGTATGGTCTTTGGCCACAGCCTTTGTCTTTGGTTGTGACAGCTTTAATTTCAAGAGTATTTTTACCAGGCTAGTGCTGTTTACTGGTAATTGAATAAGCTGGATTAGAACTTGTGGTCCGTAAAGAGGAAGTCATAGCAAATGCAGTGTAGATGGCCCTGGGTAGCAGGACTGGAGTAACATACGGCATTCTTGTACGTGGAATTGTGCCTGGGGTTCAGGTTGGGGGGAGTCACTTTTTTTTGCATATTTCTGCCCAAGCTTTACTTTTTATTTAGTTTAACCCCACTGTGAAAATCAGTAATCGTCTATCTGCAGCTAACAGGGATTTAGAACAAATGATTGGAGGTAGGTAGTCAGGTCTGTATTTAATTCTTGAATACGGAAAATCACAAAACATCAGGATTTTTAGAAACCTTTGGAGATCATGTTGTCTTTAAAAAGATATGCTCATATTGAGTAGATTTAGGCATTTTTTTGTGCATGGACTCATTTATTTCATAGTAAGTTCTTTATGCTGTTCCTGGAGCGCAGAATATAACCTGGTTTCTTCCTCACATATACACTCGTTTCCTTGGTGATTCAGTTGTGTCTTGAGTTTATGATCTGAGACAGAGAAGTGTTGGTAAAAGAGACATATTTACTCTGCTTCTTTTTTCTGCCTGTGACCATACTGTGTGAGCCCTTGAGGAGGATTTTTTCTGCCTGTGATCATATCTGTGAGTTCTTGAGGAGAATTTTTACTGCAGGAGTAATGTTTGTGCTAGGCTTGATGCTCTCCTTTTGCTTTCCTTTTAACTCGGCAAAACCAGTGGCTTGGCAGGGCAGTAATATCACTGATGCAAATATAGTGCAATAAAATTGATTTTTTTCTAATGAGAAAAATAGCTCATGATTTTCAATTAAGAGAGCTGTACATGTCGTTATATTTTCTGTTTTTCTTAAGACAAACCTTGCTCTGATTAGTTGGTGGAAACAACTAATCCAAGTGGGATTTGTCTAGACTCCAATGCCTCTGGGAACCCTTGATGATCTGGGGTATGTATTTCTGAAGCTTCACATGTTTTTATCAGTCAGTTGCTAAGATGCCTCAGAGACCGTTAAAATAGATAATAAATCAGGTGGTATCATGCAAAGAACTATAATTAGAAAGATAATGTTTAATTTAGAAAAAAGTGAAACATTGTAAGTGCAGATTGTTAAGGTGTTGAGGAATGTGGCGTGTATCTTTCCTATCAGAGTTCTGACACTATTAAGAAATAACATAAAGTAGATGAAAGATGAAATATTACATTTATATTGATATACGCTAGATTGAATGATGTAGTCTAGTTTGAAAGTCAAATGAATGTTCTAAATGAACATCAAAATTAAACAGATTAGTCCGGCCAGTGTGGCTCAGTGGATTGAGCATCTACTCATGAACCAAGAGGCCACTGGATCGATTCCTGGTCAGGGCACATGCCCTGGCTATGGGCTCGATCCCCAGTAGGGGGCGTGCAGGAGGCAGCCAGTTCGGTGTTTCTATCTATCCCTCTCCTTTNTGCCCTGGCTATGGGCTCGATCCCCAGTAGGGGGCGTGCAGGAGGCAGCTAGTTCGGTGTTTCTATCTATCCCTCTCCTCTCTCTCTCAGATCAGTGAAAACATATTTGAAAGAAATTAAACAGATTTACTAACCCCCTTCCAGAAGGTGCTTGAACACTTCGCTCTTCTCTGACAAGGCAGGACCTTTATTGCTAAACTTAGCGAGACAACACTTACTATCTCACTGTATTCCGGTTTCTAAAGTGGAATAAGGGGGTTGTGGAAGCAGCATGCCCTGCTTTTTCTTCTTGTTCTCACCAGAGGAGTTAGTTCACTTTCCCTGGAGTGGGGAAAAGATGGAGAGAGGCCAGGGATTTCATTAATTGTGCTTCACTTTAATGGAAAGAAATGTGAGGATTGAGGGTGGAGGGAGAGCATTTCTCCCAGCATCCTAAAATATACATTTTTTTCATATTCTAAACCCCCTGAAATTAGGATGTATATGAAATCAATAGCATCTTAATGGCCGCCCACCTGAAAACGGTCATAATGAGTTATTTTGCCTCAGTGTAGTAGAGTGATTGTTTCTCATACTAGCACCCTTCGGTATTTCAGTTAATGAGCCTCTTAAGGCCCATTTGAGGAAAGAATATGAGTCTTGCTTGGTATAGGAACATGTTTTCTTTAAACCTGGTAGCCTCAAGAACATATCAACATATTAAACCTGGCGGAATGGCTGTCAATCAGCAGCTTGAAATAAAGTCCTAGATACACTCCTTTGAGAAACTCGCTGACAGTTTTTAGAAAACAAGGATATTAGCAATGTCGAGTCAGTCAGACGATCCGGACTCTGAATGTGACATAGTTCTAAGAATCTCTTAACCGATGTATTTTTCTTATGTCTCCTTATTACATGTGTATGCAAGACTTATGGTAAACATCGACTATTTTTAAAAGGAGCTTTTCAGTAGGAAAAAGTAAAGATTCTGAATAATAAGGAAGCATTTTGTAGTTTAATTAGCAGGATATTTTCCCTTACTGTTAACCCACAATAGCGTATCTTCCAATTAGCGGGGCCTTAGATTTGATGGAATCCGGTCAGTTGGGTTCAGTTGGGTCTCTGCTCCAGCCTTTACAGCCCTGGACAACTTTGAATGGCAGCCTCCTTCCTCTGAAAGCTTCATGTGCCGTACTGTCCAAGACAGATACTGGTGCTTAGAGAGCAAGAGTTATAACCTTGCACTATTTCTTTAAATATACTGTTTATTCTTACTGTGCTTCCATGTTCTCGCTCCAGCGTGAAAATGCTCATATATAGTCTACTTAATGAGGAAGACTAGGTCAAGGCATCCCAAATAGTTTTGTAGATACTGAAGGCAATTGTTTTCAAAGATGGTCCTTCTTATTCCCTCATAACATTTATCTAGGTGTGCTTGGTTTATTTCTTTGTAATATTTCTAAAAATCTAAATCTCTATTTCTTATTTTTTCTGAAAGGGGATCCTGATGACAATTTAATTGAAGGTGGAGGAACAAAATTTGTCTGCAAACCTGGAGCCAGAAACATTACTGTCATATTCCATCCATTATTAAGGTAAGTCCAATCATGTGTACTCACTGAAGATCAATATTTTCATTATTAATGCTGATGTGCTGAATGCTAATAGGTCAGTGAGCATTGACACAAGTCATACAAAAATTTTTTTTTCAATCTTGTTCCATTTCCTAGGGCCTCAAAGTTAGTCAGTAGAACAAATAATTCCAACCCTGCGAAATAGTTATTTGTTCTCAGGAGAAATACTTCATAAATTCTTCAGATGTCCTTTCCTATTCCTTGTGCTTGCCCTTCTCCCTTCCCCTCCTTATGGATGTCAGGGATTGGCAAACTATGGCCCACCGGAGAAGCCTAACTCGTCACATACTTTTATAAATAAATTTTTATTGACACACAGTCATGCTCATCATTTATGTAGTGCCCATAGCTGCTTTCGTGCTAGCTACAGTTACAGAATTGAATATTTGCAGCAGAACCCATATGGCCCACAAAGCCTAAACTACTTACTCTTTGGCCCTTGACAGCAAAAAATTGCAGACCCGTGATCTGTCTCACTAATTTATACTAATGACTCAGTCGCCCTTTGAGAATTGGCAGGTCTCTGAACCAATGTGATTTACAAAAGTCAAAGACATTATATCAGACAAATATGTGGTTTTTATGTATTGAAGGAAAACTGGATGGTGACTAGAACGACATCTGTTACAGTGCTCAGTTTATTGTGATACTGTGATCGTGGAAAAATAAGAATCCATGATACTTGTATTTAAAAAACTTTTAAGCCCTAAATACCTTTGAAAAGGTACTTTTTGGGATGGGGGAAGTGAGTTTGTTCAATGGATCTAAAGTTTCAGTTTTGCAGGATGAAAAAGTTCTTGAGATCTGTTATACAACAATGTGCATATGGTTAACACTACCGAACTGCGCCTCTGAAAGAGGTTAAGAAGTTAAATTATGTGTTTTGACTACAGTAAAAAAGAGCATTCTTTGGACACAGATATCCAATGTAATATTAATTACATGTTTTCCTTGGTAATGAACCAGTATACATTTTTGTTGTATTTTCATGTAATGGACAAGAGACCCTTGGGTTCATTAAAAGTTAGACACTGCATATCATCATGTTAGCATTCTCAGATAATTTCTATTTGTGAGGCATTTGGATTAATGTTTTAACAGATGCTATTGAATTGGCCAGAGATAATACTGTATGTACTTTTCTAAAACATAAGCAGGTTACTACTGGCATTATCTTACCATGTCATTAAACAAGACTTCCTAGTTGATGTCGTTAGAATTAATTTAATTCTTATCTTTTAAGCAGTTGTTTAAAGTTGTACTGGGATACTTTACCCAATTAGGTTAAATGCAAAAAACACAAGTATATAAGTAACAATAACAATGAGAATCCTCAGTTCCTCACAAGAAAATATGAGAGATTTTGAAAGAAATGTTGCTAATCTTTAAAAAAATTGTTTTACTAAACATTTGCAGCAAGTAAATTATGTAATTTAAGAAGGACTGATTTAAGAGAATTGACTATTCCTCTAAATTTAGTTGATTTTATATATGTATAAAATGGGAAAACTTCAACATACGGGATTTCTAGATTAAGTAACAATTCTCATATTTATTGACTGACTTTGGTAATTAATTTAGTACTCACTCTCTTCTCCAGTTACAATTGATTTCTACTTAGTTAGTGTAGCTAATTGTTAGGAAAATGGGAAAATACCTTAATCATTATAGGCATCTTCTAACCGAGATTTAATGCCATAATTTACTGCAAAGTTCTGTTGTGGCTTGGATAAATGGAATCCTTATGCTTGCATTTGTTCTGAAGTATAGAAGAAACAAACCCTTTGGACATTTTTTGGCAGTGCTGTTAATAGCCGCTTTTCAAGAGATTTTTTTTTTCCATAAACTTTTTTTTTCTCCCTTTTTAACATGAAGTTACTTAAATGGAGAAAACATACTATTTCACACTTAATAAAATGCAATTCTGGTAAAATACTGGTAGAACTTAATGTATTACAGTTCTTGACAGTTATTGTTTAATATTATATGTACATTGCTTTATTGGAGAGTTGTTTTAAGGCTTGAGAACATTCCTACTAGGTTTACTCACTTGTTTGGTCTCAACTATCATTCAGAATTTTAGTTTATTATTGATTAGAACTGGGGAAAGTTTTGTTGCACAATTTATAAGAGATTATCATTCACTCATTCTCTGTGTAACTCTTAATGGAAGTCACAAGAATATTATGTGGTCTGCAAGGTAAGTCAACTCCTTTCTAAGCAGGTTGGTCATTACAGACTTTAAATTAGCCTTTGACTCAAGTGCAACCTCTCTTGTCAAACCGTTAGAGAGTTTCAGCTGATAACTCATAATGGGCTTATGGAACTCCAAATGGCTAAGATCTTTTAGTATTTTAGTTTAGTTTAGTTTTTATGCTTCAGCACTTGCTGATTATTGGATTTATTATTTTGTCTAAAGTTTGGAAGTTTACTTTCGGTAGTGAGGAGAGTCAGTGTGTGTTGTCATATGAGTATATTTCATTTTTACTGTTGTCACTTAAAATTTTCCTCATTCCTCCTATAGTCATTTATTTATACTCAATAAATGAAAAGTTTATTGAATACTTGGAATGTGTGTTTTTCCTTCTCCAAGTTAGATGTGGACCCTTGTTTAGAAATAGTCACTCGCTTTTATGGGCTTATTAAATATGTATAGATACATTTTTCATCCTTTTGCTCCTTACTTCTTTTTCATGCTAGTTCAAAGTGAATGTGATTTAGCATTTTATTACTTAAAAGACAGTGAAACAGCAGGAGAGGCAGTGTAGAAGAATGGAAAGATAGAAAATGGCACAAGGTTTGAAATTTAAAATAAAAACCAGAACAAGTTATCTAGGTTCAAATGCAGGTTCCGTCACTTCACTTTTACTCNAATAAAAACCAGAACAAGTTATCTAGGTTCAAATGCAGGTTCCGTCACTTTTACTTNAAGACAGTGAAACAGCAGGAGAGGCAGTGTAGAAGAATGGAAAGATAGAAAATGGCACAAGGTTTGAAATTTAAAATAAAAACCAGAACAAGTTATCTAGGTTCAAATGCAGGTTCCGTCACTTCACTTTTACTCGCTGATTATTTATTGAACCCTGATTTATACCAGGTCCTGAGAAAACAAAAAAATAGCATGAAAGCCTTGCCCACTCAATTGGTGGCTGCATCGGTGGCAAAAATTAGCAAGTCAGAAAACACCAGTTGTTGGAGAGAAGGTTGAATAGTTGGATCTTTTATCCCGAGTATGTAAATCAGGACAGCCTCTCTGGAAACCAGTTTGATGTTATTGGGTGACCCCATATTCTGTCACAAAGTAGTCCCCCTACTTTACTGGAGTGACTCAGACTTTATTTCCATCCCAATTTTTCATATTCTTTTTCTAATTGATTATAATAATAATTATTTATAACTTCATATTAAAATAAATTCAGAAGGAGCTTATCACACATTGACTTTTATCACAAGCCAGCACTATTCAAACATTATGTCATTGTTTTCTTAAACTCTTTCAGTGAACTCTCACATATTTTTCATCAGAAGGAAGAAACCCTTCCAAGTGTGTAGTAGGGCCTTCATTTTTCTTCGCTCCTCTTTTCATATGTCTAGCAACATTGTACTCTGTCTTCCAGAAACTTTGGCTCTGGCTTTTCCACACTTCATTTATTTGAAATGTTATTTTCATAATTTTTATTCAGCTGGCAGTGCATTCTTTGCAGCCTAAAGGTTTTCCCTTTTGAAAACGGAACCACCTGCTAAGAACACCGCACCGCGGATTCCCATTATGCTGTTTTATATATGCTCAGCAGCCGTTTATGCTGTCCTCTTCAGATTACTGTGCAGGCTCCTCAGATCCCGTAACCTTTCAGACTTATTTTTGTGCTCTCCTCACAACTACTGCCATCTCATCACTAAGAAACCACACAGACTGCGAGGCAAATACGCTGGCTTCCAGTTTGTTCACCGTCCATTAACCCGGCTGAACCCTCGACTTGTTTACTTAATTCTTTTCCATGCTATTTTCTCTTTTTGGTTAAGAAACAAGATAATCTCTTAGAGTGTGAGTTTTTGGAAAGATGAGGTATAGTATTATCCTTGCTTCACTCTTGGACTAAACAGGCATTGTGTGCAGTTAAACCCTTAATGTAAGCTTTGGACTACAGAGAAGAGGTTATCTGATCAATTTTTCTCCTTGTGGGTCTAAATGAAAAAAAAAAAGTTGAAATAAATATGCTTCCATCCATGCTTGGGTAGATTCTGAAATACTTTCACCAAAATAAAGACCCTGGAAATGAAAGGACTGATGCCTTTTTCCACCATCAAGTTTGCTGTTTTTATAGTTTTTTGAAAACTTTCAAGAGGAATGATGGATTCAGTCTGATAAATGGAATTTATTTTATAGGCCTTGAATTTGGAGAACAAAAGGGAGAAATGTTAATGTGGAAATTTGAATGGCATATTTTTCTTCTTTTATCTAGATTTGACAGGAATTTAGATTTTTTTACAAAAATTATTATTTTTGAATAACTACATCATGGTGATTATTAACCATGATCTAAATATAACTAAACTTCACCAGTGAAGTACATTTTATTGGGGTATCAACCATAGTTTGATACAGTGTAACACTTTTTAATTATAATTAGTATAGTATGTCACCATTTCAGGAAACTTTAAATGACTTTGTGGTTGCTATTTGTGGAGTTTTTGGGGAAGGAATGAAAATTTCTTTTTTAAATTTTTTTAATCATTATCAGTATTCTTTATTCTTTAAAAGCCTAAAAACAGAATATATCGTGTCTTAGATTTGTTAGTACAATTCCTTCATATACTAGCAGAAAATGATTGACAACAAAAAGTATTCTTTTAAAAATCTGAATCCTTGCAGCATCTAACTGAAGTACTCAGAAAGCACTCTGATGCTTGCTCTGTCTAGTTGTCTACCCATCTATGCATGTTCTGGGCCCATGAAGCAA